GGATGAATGATCCTGAGGCTGGAATATGCTTGCTAATTTTTTACTAGGACATGAAAGTGCTACCACTTGAAAGTGCAGGGGACCTGTACCCATCCATGATTAGCATCAGGCACGTGTCTCATCGAAATCCAGTGCGGCAGTTTGCGGCAAACTTATCATGATCAACGTCAACACACACTTGTTTTACTGTCAACAGACCAGCAAACTTCCCTGTTAAGGTGAAGAGCAGGTATTTTACACTTGCACTTGCCTGACTGAGCAAAACTGTCAGGTAGTGCATGCGCCAGGTACAACTTTCTCTCCCTTTTTATGGTCTGATTACACATTCTTGTATTGACGAGACTGAACACCTCTGATATCAACAGCCATTGTTCAGTTGTACATGCCTCCTCTATAACTCAATATCCTGCTCCATATTTATCTATATTCCCTACTGAATGGGAATATGAGAAGACTGCTGCTATAGCAAGCTGCATAAAGGTTTCTTTTTTTCAGCCTTCCCTTTATCAACTGTCTCTGTGTTTCCATGCTGTGCCCTTTTTCCTATAGACCTGCATTCATATTTATGTCTCTCTGTGTTTATTGCCCACTCAAAATCCACTCCACCAGTGACACTGGTGAAGACAGACTAAAATAACCTATGCTAATTTAAAATAATATCCTCCAGTTCTACACGGTTACACATTGTGCTTCTTCCAAAGGCAGTGATGCAATTATAGGTACTAGGGTGCACAAAGTGATATGGAGGTTTCCATGGCAATTATTCAATTTAATTGGAAATTGTGTTGGGAAAGACTCATTTCAAGTGCAGCCTGCAATTTGAATTTGTTTCCAAAGAATCTGAACTTGCTTAGGCTGGGTTAGTGAATTCCTAATTTTCAGGAAGACACAGTCTTTAAAATTCTATCAGGGGGTGCAAAACCAAGGTAAGGTTGTTAAGCTTGTTAACATTTAAGACCATGTATCCACTTACGCAATACAGTGTTTTTTACTGTAAGGTAAATATTTTAGGTTTCAAATTAAAGAGGAAGAGTTAGAAATCAAATTGATGCACAATGTCCTTGAAGCTACAAGGCAGAAGAACCAGAAAAAACACAAGTACCAAAAAGGACAACGGGCAGACACCATGCTGAAGGAGACAAATCATCAATGAGATCAAGTCCACAAGATCAAACTTTTGTATTTTCATATATTTTAGCTACTCTGTGTTATTGTTCTAACAATAATGAAGACGAAGGTAATTCCAGCCTTAATATGTTTTAGAGAGACAAAGAATGAACTGGAGGGAAGCAACTGGTTTATCTTGGTTAGATACTAAAACAAAGCTATGACTTAATTTCCTGTAGGAAAATGAGATTTCTTTCCTCTCCCAATTTCCATCACCACAACGAGTAAAACATATTTTAGGCCTCAATTTATAAAAAACCCAAAATAATCTACTTAAAGTGATGAAAACCCAGAAACAATCTCTGAACTGTGGTTTCATATTCACTAAATTTATAGCATTGCCATTTCTGAAACAAAACTCTATTAAATTTCTATTTGGCTATGTACCAGAAATGTCTCAAGTTAAAAATAGTTCCTTGTCTCCTTCATAAATATTGAATAAAAATTAAATTGATGTGAGGGTAGGGGTAGAAGTGTTCTTTCCCAGCCACAAAATCCTCCTCAGTGGGAAAAACCTGTTCCTAAAAACAGGTGGCCATGGCAGTATGTGACCAGAAGCAGCAGAATAATTTTAACAATGTAGCTTTGGTATTAGTGTGTTTGTCTCATTGCATTTCTGTACTTATTCAGAATGCCTAAAACAGAAAAAGGAAGAAAGACTCCTAACTTCCATGTCAATGATTGCATCACAGTTGAGAAGAAAGCAAAGTGACATGAATGTGCTTTTCATAATATATATGTAATCCATTCTTAATTAACTGGACTCTAATAATTAACCTTTTGTGGAAAGGCATGGGGATGGGAAGCAGAAATTCCAGGTTACCAAGAGACTCTTTTCTCGGCCCATGGTGAGTTCTGTTTTGGTCAGAAAATTTCTCTGCAAGACATTTGCTTGAAAAAGAAGCATGAACCTGAAAGGGGTCCCACCAAGGACAATCTAGCAGTGGAGGGCTTTTCACTACCTGGACAATTTGCTCTGTTTTTGGACCTGTTCTGTCATATGGTGGTGGTCCTGGGCTAATGGTTGGACTTGATGATCCTAAAGCTCTTTTCTAACCTTAACAATTCCATGATTCTATAGGCTGACAGCTCTCACCTCCCTCATCTTTTGCTGTACATTCCACCCTCCTTTGATATTTACATGTCTTCCTTCGTTTCACTACTTGACCCTCTCATAATTATTAAAATATATAGCAACCAAGGGAAAGGTTTCTTGAATTTTTTTTTATGCTTCTGGACATGAAAGAAATATACTCTCATTCCTATGTATGTCATTTGTATAAATAGGAAATAACTTATTGAAGTTAAAAGTAAGCAAATTTCATTTACTTCTGAATGTGGCAACACCCACAGTTACTCATCTCTGATGGATATAAAGGCTACTGGTGATGCTCCTTGTCTAAGCTTCTGTTTCCCACACGGAAGGTAACTCTATACCTATCCAAGCTTTCATTCATTTTCAGGGTTGGAGAAACATAGTATTAAACACCAATGTTCATGGTGTTGAAGGGATAAGTAAGACCTGAAGGTTGGTTTTGGCTAACAATAAGAGACAGGTTCGAAAAGGCTCTGGCTGAGGCACTGCTCTCAATAAATTAAATGCAATAACTGGATCCAGTAGAAAGCTACTTTTTTAATAGCAAAATTATATGCCTGGCTGTGGGAAGAGGGACATGAGGAGAGGGACAAAAAAACCCAACTTTACAGTTTCACTTGCCATCATTTCCTGAGAAAACCACCAAGATATAAGAGCCATAAATCTCTCTTTTCATTTTGGTTCAAGAATGCAAGCATACAAAGAACATAAAGGAAATCTCTTTCTTACTTATAAGAATGCACAGAAAAAAAACTGTCAGTGAAAGTTGTACTTCATTTTCAGAAATGGCAGAATGATTTCCATGCAGGAATTGGATGTTCTGCTCACTCCCCTCAGCAGACTCAAGACTGGAAATGTCACACAGAGTGGAAACCTTCACCAGCAGGAGACAGGCTAAATATCTCTGATTGAAGGACCTGTAGTTTTTCTTGACCACAGGAAGACATTTTCCCATCTAACAGATGCAGAGTAATTCCTCCATAAAATGAATTATCTACTATTCCTTGAAGTCTTGGGAAAAGCTGAAAGTTCAATAAAGAGTGTGGTCCTTAAAATTTACACACTTCAGCTCCTCACATTTCCTGTGGGGAATATAAATTGCTTCTAAGTACTTACTATTCTGCATGCCATTCAAATTCTGTTGCTTCAATTCATTATATTAAAAAGTAATACAAACTTCAATTATTCGTTGTAAAATTACAAATTTAGCTAAGGTACACAGAAAATTCAATTCACACCAAAATGGCTACAATGTTCGAATTAATGTATTTGCAGTCCTCCCACGTCCTTCTCAGCATCCTTTAAAATGTCACTTATTTTTTATAAAGTTATAGATTTTCTGAGTATTGATGTGCTCTATCAACAGACAAGTTCTCTCTGCTCTTAGTTCTGTAGATATTACTCACCATCCCAAATCACTAACAATTACAGCTGAAATAAAGGAGTCCATACGAGCAGAGGTTACAGCACTAGACTTACAGCTCAAAAGTTTGCACCTTATAAACCTCTCATCTTCAATCCTACATTCAAAAGGCACTTATGATTTCAAAGAAATTGCAAATCAAATGATTACACGCTACAGGAAATTAGATAAAAGAGAAAGGAACCACTTCAACACCATCAAGAGATTCTATTCAGCTATTATATTAATAGCAAAAAAACATATTTTGATTGCAGCTTCTGCAGGTATAAAATGACAGGGTTTAGATTCTCCTTTATTGAAGTGCACAGATCCACAAAGTGTTTTCAGTCCTACAAGGTGTTTTAGTCTTGTAATCATTCAGCAAAGCATTTGGTCTGCAGTTCTTTATTTTTAAGCAGAGTAATAAGTGCACTTGTTAAAATATGTTCTGGAGTATGTAGCACCTTTCAGAATAAATTCAAGCACCAGAATTAAGTATGAAAAGAAAAAAGGTTGAACTTCTGTACCATGGAAATCAACACCAAAGCTCGTACATTTTTAAAGCCAAGTGATGAATTTACTACCCCTAACTCCAGTTTTAATTTCTTTACAGAATCTCGTGTAACCTTTATGTTAACATTCTATTATGTAAAATCCAATGCTTTTTCAGTTCAAATTAAGATAAACATCTCAAAAATAAAAAACACTGCAGATATAATGACCATCTTTTTGTAAGGAATGGATGTTTTCCTGTCTTGTTTTACGCTCTAATTTAACTAAAATAAAAAAAAAAAAAAATCAGTGCATGGAAAAATTGGGAATATCAGGGCACAAAACCCAATTGTTTTTATTAGCTGTTAAGAACACCTACCCCAGCAACTGTGCATTGCACTAACATCCACACTGCAGTACACTTGAAGCTAACAGTGGGATTATATTTTATATATATATATATAATATATATATAAAATATATACAATATAGACATATATGCATATACACTAATAAAAACAAGTCACAAAATTTATGGGCTACTACTTCTCTTGCCAACTCTTGCCACTCATAAATGCTTTTCCAAGATATTTTGCAACAATATTTTCCAAACTACCTTACAATCAGACTTTCAAATCCTATTCTTTTCCTTTAATAATTTAAATATAATTTTATATGCAAGAGAGTACTCCAGTGAACGCCTCTCCAAAAGAATTAAATTATAAATGAAAAAATACATTCCTAGTAAATATTTTCATATTAGAATATTAAAGAGAAGTGGTTTTAAACAATTTTTTTCTTACAAAAAATGGTGCAGAAGCATGAGTTGAGGAAACAATTTACCTTTCTTGTCATCGAAGTACAGTGTCTGTTGAGCTGGATTTGACCACTGGAGGGAGGTGTTATCATTTTGATCGACCCTGCAGGTCAAATTTGCCGTTCCCCCTTCAACAACCGTGACGTTCTGTGTAAGTGGAAACTGTCCTTGGCTGCCTGAGGAGGGAGGGGAGGAATGCAGGAGGGAAGAGAGTAAGAGGAAAAAAAAAAGAAAATATTTAGGTTGTAGAACTGAATTTATTGCAGCAGATTCAATGTGATCTATTCTGACCAAGGCAGCACGATAAACCAAAAAAAAAATTACATTTACAATATATTCTCTGTATCTGAGAAACAGATAGATGAATTAAGAAATAAGGATTCTTCCCCCCCCCAAGACATACTATACAGTTACAAAGAAGTGCCCTGCAATTTTATCTCCTCAGACATACCCACAGATGACTCAGTACAGACAATACAGTTAAATCAGTGCTGAAAACATCACTGAAAGCATGACATAAAACTCCACACAGAGTTTTTTCAAACAGAGGGACAGGGCAACCATGACTCCCTGTTTCCTTTTATACATTTTAAAGGCCTCTCAGGATGACGTTTTTCACGTCAGGTTTGGAAAGTTGTTGGAGAGCAAATGTAGTGTGAACCTAATACCCGATGCATACTCTGCTGAGGGAATATAACCTGATCTCATATGAAAATGGAAGGGATGATGTAGTAGGTCTCTTGCACATCTGTGATTCTATCCCAGAGCATTATGAATCACATTAAGTGCTTGCTGAAAAGTCACTGGGAAGATTTCCAAATGCCTCCACACAATACAGGAGCAGTATCGCTCAGGTTCTTAAATCACGAGCATTTTCAATGGCATAGTTAGACTGAAGTGTTTATGTGTGGGGAGAATAGCACAGCCCTTGTCAAACAGCACAACACATTCTGACAAACAGTACTGCAAGAAGGGAGTAGGGTAAAAACATGGAAGAAAAACATGGAAGACATTTTTAATATGGGCGGGGAAAGAAAGAAAGAAACCTTCAGTAATCAGCAAGACACATCATGGATTCTATGATCATTATCTAGGACATATATTAATTTACTTAAGGATACTATGCAAAAGAAAGACAATCCAGTACTCTAAATCAAACCTGTGCTTCTTTCTTCCCCTCCTTTTATACAAGTTCTCCCAATAAAAGAAGCACTGAAGAGTAGGTAGAGCTGCTCACACAAGAACCATAATGCCAAGACTGACACTCAAGTGGGATGTGTCAGAAACTAAAAACCTCTCTACAGTCCTACAGGAGCAAACAAGCTCATAGACATGTCATAAGTACATCAAGGAAATAATATATACAATATTCACTAATCATGCCAACACAGAATCAAAAATCCAGCACAAAACCTTCACAGAAACATCTTATTCTAGTGGCTCTCATCCCAGTTGTTCCCAACTAAGTTAAACTGAAGCACGTCTTCTACATAAAAGGCATGATAATGAAAATCTATTATCTAGCATACAGGTTTTCAGATGAGCAGAATAAAGAAGTACAAATTAAAAGACTAACAACTGAACTTCTATTTGACCTATTGACACTACCAAAGATGTAATTGTAGCCAGATTTCCCTATGGATTGGTTTCCCTATATAAAATAATTATGATGGCCTTAGATGTGGAAAATAAGTACCTACATCAGTGAAATAAATATTTCCATCAAACTGCAAATCTGAATAACTGGTATAATTTTTGCATAAATATCAACTTCCTACAGATATCTAAAGATCAACACCTACTGTGTTCTGATATTTACTCTAAGAGGGTATTTACTATCCATAGGATAACAGATAAAGTAAACAAAAAATAAGGAATGCTGAAAACACCATGGCTAATTTAAATGCTGCAAACAAAAAATGCCGAAATTCTCATGACATCCTCTGTATCTGACACTTCATTAATCAAACCCTGCTTCCTGAAAGCCACACGTTGAGAAATACTTGATGAGTGAAAAATCATAAACAAGGACGGGAAAAAAAAAAAGAAAACAGAAAAAATTTGTCATTTCCTTCTATTTCCCCTCTTTCAATTCCAATGTGTCAAGGAACCTCGAGATATTGCATAAATTGCTTATCGCTTAAATTAGAATTTTAAAGATCCAAAAAACCCCCACACAGCCTGTTATTACTTCCACTAAATTACAAGCAACTTACCAAAGAAATAACCTTCTAAAGTATGAATTGTGGATAGGAGGCTATGTGGGCTAAAATACTTTTTGCATACAAAAAGCATTAAACAGAACCTACTGCCAGAGATTAGCACAGTGAAATCTGTCATTTACATGAAAGACCTGGAATGGAAGACAGTTTAATAAAAAACCTGCTGTAATGATTTAGGACCTTATTAACACAATTTAGGAGATCTCCCCATAGTTACCCTGATCTCCCCATAATTACCCTATATTCCCTTTTGGATATTACAGTTCTGACCATGAAGGTGTCAGTGTACCTGCAGTCTGTCATGAGCTAATGACTGAGAAGTCACAGACTTGTCTGATCAGAAGAGTTGCTGGTATGTAAACTAGTCTGATCAACCAGATAAATGGGTGATGGAGATGCCACAATCCGAAGAGGACGAAAGAACTTTCCTTTCTCTGATCACTCCAACGTGTGCTGGAGTTTTGGAAGCAAGAAATAACCTAGCATATGAAAATGAGACCCAAACATTCATCCTATCCCTTACCAACACAGAAGCTGTGTGGATCTGGAGAACAGGCACAGAGCTTCATAGGAAGCTTGGAGTGGAGAAAGAGGTACAGAGAAAACGAGCCATCTAATATGGAAACTAGCCCAAGTGGAAAGAAAGGAGCCCGTGCAGAACAGATTAAAATAGATAAAGTGAGCCCACATGAATGGATACTGAACACTTCTCAATAAAGACAAAATCTATCAGCAAGTGGACTGGAGAAGGCTGTAAAACCCTGCATGAAACAGATGAACACTAAAGAAAGCACCAGCATTGTGTGTTTTAAGTGTCAAAGAAGTGTTTTCATGCCGCTAGAGATTGCATATGGTTCCTGAGGGGACCGACAGTGTTTTGTGGGAGAGGCCTTGTTTCTGATAAACAGAGAGGTAGCATGTTCCCAGGAAGGATGCCAGGGAAGGTGCCAGCCCATGCAAGTGCTCAGTGAGATGGAGAACCCAGGCCATAGGTGGTGCAGGCTCCTGCTGCAGCCCAGTGACCCGAAGCTGGAGACCACTGACCGGCATCACATCACTCCCCAAGGCACTTACTTTGGAAAACCCTTTATGGCTGGGGTAACTTATTACCACTGCCAAAAAACCCATTCATATTCCCAGCAGTGAATAGGCTGGTTCTGATCCATTTGAATAGGCCCATTAAATCAAGAATAGTTGGTGATGAGCCTTCAATAAAAAGGCAAGTCTAAAGGCCCTGTCACATTGGGGCTATCGTAATTTCAACAACCCAACACCATCACTATGATTCTTTAGTATGAACAGTTTTTAATACTGGTATTAAACTCCCATTTCCTAATTTCTTCCTTAACTCTGGAAGCAGAGATTAAACAAGAAAATGTCCTCTAACGAAAGCATTTCACCTTGACTTAAGAAGTCTAGTAATGGAAAATTAATGGTCCCTTTGGTAACTCATTTCAGAGAGCAGGAGTCACCCTTGTTTAAACAAAACCACAGAATTTACTCCTGGTATGCTGCTGTAACACTTAGCTTCCAGTAGCTCTTATATCTTTTACCCTGCTCCGAAGAGCTGTTTCTTATCAAATTTCTCTTGTAGGCACTTAGAGACTGTGATCATATCACCCATTAACCTTCTTTTTGATAATCTAAATAAATTGAGCTCCTAAGTCTTCCTGTAGAAACCGTATTTTTCTAATCCCTTAATTAGTCCGCGGTTCTTCTCTGTGACCTCTGCAATTTGTCATCTTTTTTTCTCAAGTGTGTTCAGGCCCAGACCTGGAATCCTCACTGCTGCAGTCACAGAAGGAAAAAAACACAAAGGTGATGCCACTTCTCCACCAGCACTTTGTGTTCTTGTTTGCACACCAAGATGAGTCCCCTGGGCCAGAGGCTCAGGCAGGAATCCAGCTGTGACTGATGGTCTACCATGAGGCTGGGAGTTTTTTCTCAGACACCATTCCAAAGACAGGCTCTCATTCCAGTTCTCCTCCTGTAGCTCTCAGATACACTTCCCTATGTTTCACTGCGCTGAACACAGCATTTTAGGTAAGTTCAGTACAATTTATTTCCTGCTTTACTATTACCTGAGGTGATTGACAGGTATGACTGAGATAAGGAAAACAACTCAGATGATCACCATTGTAAAGACAGGGCTGCCCACCCAACTGACTTGCTTTTCTCACAGCAAATTTCTGGCAATGACATTTCTACCCTCCACCAGCAGGTCAAGTCAATCAAACATGTACATATCCACCACTGTATATACAATTACATTCTGTTCCGTGATCAAACCTTGAGGCAGGACAAACTATTTTCCTGTCTGTATGGAGTACACTACTAAAGAGCAAAAAAATAAATAAATTACTGGTGGCCCATATTACAATTCCCTTCTACCTGAAAAAGAAGCAAGGAGTTTCATTAGAAAACACTACAATGTTATACAAAGGTAAGTTAAAATAAGCAGTGAAGCTATGGCAAAAAGGCAACCGCATTTAGACATCGCTGTCATCATATTGTATCCCAGTCCCTCTGCTCATTTTAGGAAGCTTTTTTAACAAAATTATTTCAACTAGTTTGACTAGATGGAGCTATAGTTAAGTGTATTCTACCACAGGTTGTTTCTGCAATGCTTTGTGGAGGACCAATACTGCTCTGCAGTAGAACTGATGGGCTCATATCTCATTAGCCACAAGCTGTTTCCTGTCAAGAAAAGCTTTTATTTTTTTTACCCCCCCCCCCAGAAATCACGGCTAAACTGCTTCTGTGGATTTTAACATTGATTTTTATCTCAGTATGTGACAAGTCTATGCAGAATAATTATCATTATTTGGTCCAGTTCGGAAACATTCATCACGTGAGTTCGTCTCATGTTTATTTGTTTATGTTTGGGTTAGGTTTTTTGCTTGTTTTTGTGGGTTTGGTGTGTTTGGGTTTTGGTGTTTTTTTTTTTACTTTTT